GCATCGACGACGACGATGATGATGATGATGATGATGATGATGATGATGATGATGATGATGATGCCGAGGTGCAAGGCCGCGATGCAGACATGTCATTGGAATTGGACGTGGACGCCATCAGCAACGCGGGCAGCATGCAAGCGCACCCCGACGACAGTGAGTATGGCGATGGTGATGGCGCAGCGGAGACGGACGCGCAGCAGAGACAGAAGCAGCCGAAGCGGAAGAGGAAGAAAAAGAAGAAGAGGAGATCCAAAGCGCTTCGGGACAAGAACCGGACATCCGACGGCGTCTTTGATGGTGCGTGTGTGCGTGTGTGTGTGTGTGTGTATGTGTGTGTGGGTGGGTGTGGGTGGGTGTGGGTGCGGGTGAGAGAGGGAGAGACTGCATACCATATCACACATACACATGTATGCACGCACATGCATACACATAAGAATACACACCCACACACAAGCTCACCCCTGTCGCCTCGTTTTCCTCTCTCCATCAGAGTCGCTGCTGCGTCAGGATCTGGAGCAGTCGCTGTTGGCGCATCCGACCAGCGTCGACCTCGTCCTCCAGGTCAACACACACACGCATATGTATTTGCTTGCACGCATACGTGCACACTCACGCATGTGTATTTGCTTGCATGCATACGTGCACACTCACACACACACACACACACACACCACACACCACCACCACCATTCACCACCATTCACCACCTCTCCCCTTCTGCGCTGCAGAAGAGCAAGCAGTGGACGCGGTTCAGCAAAGACGTCCTGTCGTATATGGACCGACGCGCCGCCATCATCAACGACTTCAACAAGCGCCTCGCTGCCCTCGCACAAAGGTCCAGCACATCGGCGGTGGCGGAATTTGTTTCCGTTTGTTTGCGCTTGTTTCCGTTTGTTTGTGCTTGTGCGTGTGTGCGTGTGTACTTGTGTGTGTGTATGTGTGTGTGTGTGCGTGCGTGTGTGTATGTGTGTATGTGTGCGTGTGTTTGTGTGTTTTTGTGTTGCGTGTGCTTCAGTGTCTTTGCTCGCTTGCTCCTCTCCACAACGCCTTGTATTTCTCCAAGGCTCCAAAACACACACACATGCACACACACACACACACACACATGCTCATCACCGCCACACGCCACCACACCTTCCTGCAGCACGCTGGAGACGGTGGAGCAAGACACGAGCTTCCCGTGTGCACACGAGGTCCAAGAGATGCTGGCAGCGCACCTCAACGATGCAAAGGTAGCGTGCACACGAGTCGATGGTGGTGCTTGATTGGCCTAGTTGTGGTGGTGTACATGTGTTGCATCAGTGTACACCACTTGCGCATTCCCAAATACCGCGTCGCTCCCCTCACGCGTCTCACATTTCCGCCCCACGTTCCCCCCACATTTGCCCCTCTCCCCTTCCCCACTTTTCCCTTTTCCCCCTCCCTCACCTCGACCACAACAGCGCATGCAAGCGCATTTGTCTGGCAACAGCCACGTGCTGCACGTCGAAGGGCTGCAGACGTTCCGCCAGCAGCACGAGCGCACGCGCAAGGCGCTCAAGGACCAGTGGCACCGGGAGCAGCGGCGCGTTGCGGACGCGGCGTCCACCGCCACCAAGGCCGAGGCGAAGTACAAGCAGCACAGCGCAGACTGGGAGCGCGCCCTGCAGAACCGCATGAAGGAGGAGCAGTCCACGTGCGTCATGTGGTGGTGGTGGTGGTGGTGGTTGGATGAATGGATGAATGGATTGGTGGTGGTTGGATGAATGGATGAATGGATTGGTGGTGGTTGGGTGGATGTTTGGTTGGATGGATGGATGGATGGTGGTGGTGGTGGTGGTGGTGGTGGGTGGGTGGTGTATGTATGGATGGATGGATGGTGGTCGTCGTTGTCGTTGCTCGAGTCTAACGTGTTGTGGGAAGGCCTGTAGCACGCTTGCACGCTGCGTCGGAACAACGAAAAGCTTTGCTTCGATTGCTTCGCTCCTAACCTCATTGACCCCGCCCCTCTCATGTCCCAATCTCCCCCCCCCCTCCGCCGCTTCATGGCAGGTACAAGCTGAAGCTCGACAAGCGAAACAAGGAGGAAACGGACACACGCGCAAAGCTGGGTATGGGATGAATGGAGATGGAGGTGGGAATGAGAATGGGGGGAGGGGCTGGGGATTTGGAATGAGGGGCTTGGCGCGGTATCACGATGCGTACGCACTGTTGTACGCACTCTGTGTCCGTGTGCGTGTGCGTGTTTGGATTTATCTCGCCTCAACCACAACCACACAACCACAACCGCAACCACAACCACACAACCACCACCACAACCACACAACCACACAACCACAACCAATCAAACACCTCTTCGACTGCCAGACGAGGCGCGCGCGACGTACAAGGCGGCGGTGGAAGATTTCAACGGCGCCCGCAGCGATCTGATCGCCACCAAGGAGACGGCTGTCAATGAGCTGCTGGTGAGATGGTGTTGACAATGCGCTGCTGTACATTGACGTGGGGTGGTGTTTGG